TCTAAGGCGAGAGCTTCGAGCTCTCGTCCGTTCGTTGAAGTAAATTCTACAACGTTATTCTCGACTCGTGAATCAGTATCGCGAAAACTAAGGTTAGAGAATGTTTCTTTTTTTCTATTATTTCTTCGTCCAACGATCTCGTTCCCACGAATAAATTTTATTGTTAGAAATAATATGGTACGTTTATATTTGCAAATTTAACGCATTTAAAAAGAAAAAAAGGAAATAAAATCTCGATTCCGATGAAATTTCACACTAAAAGGTCGTACCTCATACCGCGAGGTCATCGAAATCATCTTATTAAATATTTTCCTTTCACCTTTCTCCGTTCACCGCAAAATTGACGCTCTCTCGTCTCGGCGAGTGCGCTCGATAAGCTGCTCGGCGCTCTGGAAAGGAAACAAGATGCATATCTTCACCCTTGAAATTATTACAGGAAAGCGAATCTCAAGCGGATTGACCTTGATCTTTTTCTTTTAAGATCGTGAAAAATCTAATGGATGACAGGACATTTGTTCTGAAGCATAACGAAAGCTTTAGAAATGCGATCGAGAATTGATCGCAACTGATGCGAATCGATCTTTCGCGAGGAAAATTGCGACTCGTTATAATAATCATATCGAATCAAATCAACGCGCAAATGGAGAAATTGAAGCATTGTCATTGTTTATAATTTATTGCAAAAAATCATCGTTTTGTTCATAAACTAACATTTCATCTATTACTATTAATCTGAACAACATTTTATTTAATCGTAAAATCAATTACGATATAAAACGATAATTTCCGTTCATCGTTTCCTATATAACTATCTCCTTTCTAATTAATGTTGATGACAAGAGAAAAGTCGTCGTTAGTTGTTATAAAAAATATTTCATTACAATTATGTTCACACAAGACTGATTGCGAGAGAGGAGAAAAGGAGAAATAAAACACGAAGTTTCCTGCACTAACTCTTAATAACGGCGATTATTCTCGAGCAAGACAATAGACGAGGAATATCTTATCCGAGTACAACGCCAACTAACCTTAGCTTCTGTTTTCGTTTTCGATATCATTCGCTGCATCATATTTCCTCGTTAATGATCTTGACACGTTTCTCGCGTTTTGTGCTTAAAAGAGAACTCGTGTTTTCGAATTTTATCAAAGAAATTTCTAAATCGTATAGACGAGAAAGTATAGGAAGAAAGGAAGGTAGGAAGGAAGGAAGGAAGAAAAACCTTCAGGAGAATATTATTCCTAGAACGTTTTTCAAGAAACCTAAAGGGGAACGTTGTCTTGGCGGATACTTTACTGGTAACAACTATTCGCCGTTCGCAAAGAAGACAATCTTGCCTTTGGCGAAAGAGCCGAAATCGAGCCGACCTGCAACGATACGTCCGAGACTATCTCTTTCTTTCTCTTCCTCTCTCTTTCTCTCTCTCTCTCTCTCTCTCTCTTCTCCTCTTTTCCTTCCATCCGGTTCATACTACGTATATACCACCTTAGAGGCAACAACGTGCCTCTCGAGATCAGCACCGTACGTCTCTCAGTATATGTATGTATGTATGTGGACATATGTGTGTGCACCTACACGAAAGCAATATGGAAATAAAGCACTTCCAAGCTTCTCAAGAAATGCATACGTTCCTCTTGGCGTTTCGAAGCCATCCCAGCAAGAGGTACGCTTTCCTCTCGTCACCAAAAGCCTTTCATTCTCGGTCACCAGCCACATGAGGAAGACGAATACTTGTGGAAGTATTGCTTTTATTCCCCTTCCCTCTCTCTCACCCTCTTTCTCTTTCATTCTCGATTAAAGACTTCGTAAGAAAAGACGAAAGTTCTTCACTAAAACGAAGTTCGGGTTCGTCGCCAACAGCAACACCAAATCGGCCTTTGTCTTTCTTCATGTTCGACTTTAATCGTCGATCTTCAATGTAATCCCTTTTGCCATGGGGAAGCCCTCTGAAAGAGAAGGGCTTGTCGATGGAGACCTCTAGTGGCATACCCCAGCTACACAAGTCAGTAGAAAAACTACTAACCACCGTCTTCGTTTTATTTGACGATATTTCTATTCTTTTTTTTTACAAACCGCGTTATATTCGTCTTTCTATCCTCTCCTATACGACCAGGAACCCTTTTCAAAAGAAACTACCTGGCCCTCGTGACTCCTCCTCTTCCTTTTTCTCTTCTTTTTCTTATCTTATTTTTCTTTTTCTTCTTCTACTTTCTCTGACTCGGCGATATCGTAACGAGACAACGGGAAACAAAGTGAAGAAGTCAGCTTCCATTCGAGTGGCACACGTAACGTTTTACGTTTTCACCAGTAACAATCACGGTTTGTACGATTTTTCAGTAGAGAAATCGATTTTACCTTTCCAATGTAATAACGTCACCTCGTATTTTTGTGAAGAAAAAAGAAAAACATTCTTTCGGTATATACCATTGATCGTATTGGCCAATACGATCTCTTCGTAGCGATAGGATTATTCGATGGTTCACCGTGTTAAGAAATAAAAATAAATTTTCTTAAAAAAGAGAGAGAGAGAAAAGTATAACCTTGAAAGCGTTAACCATAGTCAGCGTTTGCTTACATGCTGTCGTAGCTACGCGCATAATCCAAAATGCAAATATTTTATAACTTTTTTTTTGTACTTCCTTTCAATATTCTCGACATCTTTTTTGTCGGAATAAAAATAAAACACTCCAACTCTAACATGTTTACTTATCTTGGTCAAGGAAATCCAGTAAGAAATATTTTGTTTTTTTGGCAAAAAATGAAAAGAAGACAAATTATATAAAGTATTTTTCAAAGTGAAAATTCATGACTATTTCAACTCTCGAATTGTTTGAAAACATTTCGAACGTGATGAGAAGTTAAAAGGAAGAAAATACCTATGTTTATAAAGCTTGTAGAAAGCCAGAGAGCAATTATTTTTGAACTGACAGTGCTAATTACTCAAACAGACCGAATGAAGTGATAGTCTCTATCATTTACATAACCATAATCCTACTTAGTGGTCGATGCCTAATTCCCTCATACGTATTCGTTTCTCTGTTGTACCAGAATTTCTGGTATTTAGGTATAGACATTACGTTCGATTGTTCAACGGAAGTACTTTTCTCTCAATGTGCTCAATTATGGCAGTTTCCTCGTATCAGAGAAACGATTTAAAGACCCCTATTATTTTCAACTTAATAATTTTATATAATCTCTCTTATATTTTTCAAAAAATACATGAAATGTTGAAATGATTTTATTAACAACAACAACAAAAATATGTGTGTGTGTTTAAATTTATAGGATATTTGGACGTGTATAGGATAATCAATAAAACAAGAGGAAGCTGTCTATTTACAAAGTATTCGTGTATTTACACGCGTGTTCGGTCGGTGTAGAAAAAAAAACATACACATGTACATCGGATTGAGTGATTTTTAAGGATCGCTCGTTGTGAACAAACATCAGGCTCCATTGTACTGGAGCTCTCTTCTCTCTTTATACAGAAAAAAAAAAAAATAATAAATTAATCGTTAAAAAATATGGTGCACGCGAGATAGGAGCAAAATGGACGTGCTTTATGGCTTGGCAGTAGCGTCACTGCATAGGTATTATACTTCGTAACAATGGGCGTCTTTCTTGAAAAGTACACGCTCTAATTATTTTACGCGTCTAAGATATATTACTGAATTATGTATTACCATTCGCTGAGCAGCACCGTTAAAATGTATCGAAGGATGTAGTAACAAATTATCCTACGATTATGATTATTTATAATGAACGTAATAAAATGTTCCATATAAAATTGTTAAACGCAAAAATAAGCAAAATATATATATATATATATACATCATTTGAAAAAGAATAAATTTGCAGAACGAAGAAACATGTTAAACGAGAGATACAATTTTCGCAGTCACCGGGGGACTGTTAACCGAGATTATGAACTTTCACCTTGAACGGAGGAGGTTCGAACGTGTACCGGCATGTACTCGGCGAACATTAGAGAACGACGGTAACACACATTTCACGACGGTGAGTCGACAAGGCCCGTAGCCCAATGACCTACATTCGTTGATCGAAAGTGCGACGTCGAGTTGATTTTCCTTAAGATCACGAGTTAGTTCGTCTCGTTTCTTTCGATTTCTTCTCTTCCTTTAAGTGGAATCAAAATTCGTCGGCATTTAAAACGAGAACAAAAAAATCGTCGAATATCTCTCTTGATGGTTAAATCTACTTTCTTTTTTTTTTTTTTTTTTGAATACATATACCCTCTCTATTATTCGACCTAGAATAGATGAATATATTGAAAAAGAAACGTTTGCTTAAAACCACACTTGGTTCATCTTTAATCTTTACTACTTCGCAATTACGTCAGGTTTCTCAAAATTTCTAGGCAAACAGAACAGTATTTGAATAATAATAATAATAATTATTATTATTATTATAATAATACATTAAAACTTTCCACAAGAACACATAACATCCTGATAACTCGAGGTGTGATGTTCTTAAGTAAGCAGACTCTTCTTCTAATAACTTGTTATCGATACATTAGCCAACGTATAATTATTACTTTCTCTCTTTTCAAAGGTAAACTAAAAAGAGTCTTGAGCAATCTCTTCGATTCTTTTCTCACTTCTATCGCGTTCTACTCGAATTACTTCGAGTGCAGGGGGTATTCCGATGACAGCATTTAATACGAATCGATCGGTAACTATCGCATTTCTCGTTCCCCGTTTTTCGTTACAGACGTGAAAGAGAGAGAAGCACGTCATTTTATTCCATTAGGAAATCTTTGATCTTTCGATACGATCGAAGACAATACGAACGAAGCACCATAAACCTATAATCTAGCACAGAGTTTTAATATTTCGATAGAAATTAATTTAATAAAATTTAAATAAAAAATATTCTTATGTCAAAATGTAACGACACAATTTTCTCTTAGCCACGCATTTAAATGATTTTCACATAAACACACTATTTCACGAAATAATTCATGAAAATTTCGTTTTACTGTCACTTTTTTGATTCTTGATAGACATCGAAGTATCCCCTTGTTTCTCCGCCTTGTTAACAGATCTCGTCTCTTTCCTCGTATTGTCAACGTATTGATTGTTAAAAAACAATGCAACCGCTTCGTTTTTAGATGAATTTTCTTCGTCGTTATTGGACGTTTGACCACTTCTTTTGCTGGCTTCTCGGATAAGTTGATTTATTTCTTCGTTATCCTTACTTTGAATTGTAATATAATGTCCGTTCTGATGAGAAAGGCTATTAGGTTCAGACAAGTGATCATTACGAAATTCTTCTAATGGTTGAGCCTGAGGTGGACCTTGAAGTTCTATTCGACTTTGATCCGGTTGCTCGATTGCTGCAATAATGTCTTGAAGAAGGCCATTGGAAAGAACCTGATCGTGTCTTATACTACCATCAGAATTTTCCGTTCCTAATCCACCGTCAGCAGGTTGAATTTGTAAAGTATAAGTGCCTTTTGATCCCTGAATTTGGAAACCACTTGGTCCATCAGCCGTCAGACCTTGTGCCAAAGCCAATGCTTGGCTTCCTTCGTCAGTCTTCAAGTATTGACTAGCATCCACATCGTTTGAGCTTAGACTTTTAGCCTCGCCATAACTTTGAGCCGTTAAACTAGCTGTTAATGCCTCGGCTGAAGCCCCATGGTGATGCAGTGGTAATCCTGAAGAGAAGGAACTTTGGGATGGACTAGAAGATGAGGAAGTAGATAATGATGATAATGATGATGACGACGAAGACGATGATGATGACGATGATGATGATGACGATGAGGAGGAAAGAGATACAATATTTTTCACTCCAGTAGTCGACGAGTGAACGTGATCATTACTTTGACCATGCGAATCAATCGCTTGATTCGTTGATTCATAAGAAACTCCTATCGGATTTCCATAACTATCTTTTAAGCCAACTTTCTGTTGCTCGTAATTTTCCAGATCTAACGTATTTACGGGTGGTGCTATATACGGACTTAAAGAATCAGAAAGTTGAGGTAAAGCTGGTGGCGATTTGAGCAAAGAATTATCTTCCACTCCTGTTGAACTTGGTAATGCTGGAGGAGCAGAAGGTGGTAACAAATGATCGGTACCCTTGTCAAATTCAAAGTTCGCGACACTGTTGAATTGCCGATAATTACAATCACCAGTTGTAACGGCTAAAGGTGGATTTGCTATGACGGGTGTTCCATAAATGCTGCTCAGGTCATTTCCTATCCCGTCGTAAAGATTGGTCCCAAAGCCGTTCGACGTAAAACCGAATGTTGATGCTGGTCCAAAATTAGGTGCACCATAAGTTGGAACCGGAGCTGGCGTGTTGAAATCCGTGAAAGACAATGGAGTTCCATATTGTGCGTTGGGTGCAGCCATTGGAGAATTCAAACTGTGTGAATTGAACTTGCCAAAGGATCCACTGTTAGAGAAGACGTTCGATAAGGAATGATCGGATTGTGATGATTGATGAAATGATAGAGGAGCATTTAAACTAGGTAATTGAGGGCCGAACGATAAATGAGGGCCGTGTAATTTAAGTGGCTTTGTCAGATCGATAGGAGGTAATGACGGAAGGTAACGATGAAGATTGGATATCAGTCCTATGGGAATTGGCTCTCGAAATTTGATCGGTTCTCGATTTCTTGGTGGTATTAAAGATCCTGGCGGTGACGAAGGCGGACCGTGTAATCTAAAATGTCCGTGAAATCTGTGATGATGCAATCCATGTTTCTGAAATGAACCACCGAAAGGTCCAAACGGTGGGAAAGTTGGTCCAGTACGACCAGATTGAGCTGCTGGATACGGGCCGTCTGGTGAGTACGAAGAGATTGGTGGTGCTGCGTAAGAATCAGTAGGTGGCGAAAGTATAGAACCACCGTTGATCCCATTTGCCTTTCCGAAATTAACTGATGGCAGTTCCGGTAGTTGTTGCAAAGTGATATCATTGACATTATGAACTCCGTGAGATTCTTCGTTTCCTAATGAAACGTCATGAGATGATTGGTCCAATTCTTGCAATGGTAACACTGAAAGTCCCGAGTTCAAGCCAGAATCAACATTTAAAGACCCTGACGAGTGTTCGTACGAAGAAACGCCAGAATTACTTTCGTGAGACAAATTTTGAAGATCCGAAGTCTGAGATTCGGTATTAGGTAATAACTCAAAACCCACAGTTTTTACGATCGAAAGAGAGTTTGAATTTCCAATGTTATATTTTAAGTTAGATTGATGGTGACCGCGTTGATGATGATCAGAATGGAAAGAGGACGACGACGACGACGACGAGGATGATCCGTGTGTATTCGTACTGTGATCACCATCATATATTGGCAATGCCGGTGGAGGCAATCCATTTTTATCACCAGAAGATTCACGAACAGAAGTTTTTAGATGTTGAGCTTCTGGATTAGTAATAGGTATACCGTAAGAATCACTGGGCACGTTCGGATTCGTCGTATCTTCGACGTATTTCAAACGTTGGCTATCAGAGGATGAATAATGTTTCAATGTTGATCCTTGTTGTTTTTGATTAGCAACTCCAGCTATTGGTTGCCATCCGTCGTACATTATATCAGGTGGAGTGGGAGGTGCGGGAACTCCTGCAGGAGGTGGAGGTGGTGGTCCGTGAATATTAACACTACTCAGCTCATACTGAATAGGTAATTGAGGAGGTGGAAGGGGAGGAGGTGGTCCATACTCAGGATTTACTGGAAGAGGAAGTGGCTCTGGTCGTGGTCGATAAGACTCGATGGAAACAGGAATGGGTGATCCATGTCCAGGCTTAACGGGTCCCAAATGATTTGGCAAAGACGATGCCTGTGGGAAACCGGCGAGTGGAGGCGTGTTCAACTTCAACGGCGGTCCATACTGTGGTTTTGGTGGTCTAAACGAAGGGAAGGAAAGCAGCGGCGGTCCGAAGTGCTGTTTTAGCGAAGCAAAGTGAAGCTTTGGTGGGCCAAAAGTTTGTTTCGGTGGCCCGTAATGAGGTTTAATGTTTAACGGTGGTCCGTAGACGGGTGCTGGCCCATTGAAACCACCATTCACCGATACAATCGGTGGTCCGTAGTCGTCGGCGGGTGGTCCATAAGAGTTGCTTATCCTTTCGCTGGCTTTAATCTCATTTTTTTTTTCCTCAACATTTTCATTGGACGATGCTTGCGGCAATGCCTTGTTCACCACCGCTCCTACGTGCTGACTGATCAGCAACGCGCAAACCAACACGATTGTCATCTATAATCAAAATAGGTCACCTAGAATTGGACGAAGGAATAATAGAGTGTAATAGCGATGAGAAATGAAATAACAAAAAGGTCTATCTTGTTCGAAAAATTTCGTAATGACTATGCTTCCTTTCTTATGTAACGTATCGTATTAAATTTAGATCTTGTTAAGTTATTTAATATTTAAAAAATAATGTATATATATATATATTGTATTAGAAACGAAATTTCTTTCTTAAATTGAACATGATGTATATCATGATATGTTTCTCCTAGACATACAGTAAGAGGTCTAATCATCCCGACGCTTCATAAGCCGTGAGATACTTTACATTTGTAACTCGCATAAAGTGAGCTCATAGTCTCGTAGGTACGAACGGATGTATATACGTAGATACGTACGTACGTGAAAATTATGTAAACTTCCATTTACTCACAACACGTTCTAGATGCGTACGCGTGTGAATTATTTTATTACACGGAAGGATATCACGCGATCTTTAACGAAACACGCGACGTTCGTGCTATAGTTCCAAAGAGATGGGATTTCCTTCAACGCGTCTCGTAGTAAAAGCGAGAAATGAATGATCGCCTCGGGAGTATCTAATGTAGCTAATTATATTCACTAGGATAAAATGAAAATGTAAGTTACTACACACTACTGTTTTTTTCTGATTATTAATACTTTATATTACAATAGTAAAACGTGTACATGTCATTTTAAATGATATTTTAAAGTGCAACTCATCCTTGATCGTGTTGCATTTTAAGTTCAAAGTTAATACTATTAAAACACAATTGCGATGAATAATATCTAAAACGTATCATTTTTGTCGTGTCTTTACCGCGATGAAGCCGTTAGAAAGTATTATCGTTACAAGCGTTATACGGGCAACCAGCGATATAATCGTAAAATAACTACGATGCTTTCTTTAATAATGTTCGTGGTTTATGTTCAAACGACTAAAGACAATAAGTAAAGAAATTTTTCGACGGAAAGAATAACGATCGATCAACAGCTATTTTCCTTGGTAGTAAAGAAAATTATTTCCGTATTAAATTTGACATGAGAGCCTTTCTTCGGGCCTCTCGACGACTCATCAAAAAATTTTCTTCTTTCATTTATGAACGTAAAAATAATATCGGTGACATTTTAGCCGGCGGTGAAATTAATCTTGAGAACAATAGAAACTTTCTTTATTTTTTTTTTTTTTTAACAATGTTAAATTCGCCAACGTCACTTTCGACCATCGGTGGTAAAGTCTAATACCATTTCTATGATTATACATTATTTACGAGACACTACCATTATCGAGTCTATCTAATACCTCGATCGGACATTTACGTAAGGAAAACGGAAGTAACGATCGGCTTGTAAGACTGGTACGGTAGAGTTTATCGAGCGAAATACTATCCTACACTATTTATATCAATTTTACGAGATCGTTCGTAACAAATGGAGACATTTGGTATAGTTGTTGATACAAGTTGTACATTCACTGTTAGAAGTAAGTCGAAACTTGTCTCTCATAAGCTTGGTTGACTCGTCAACGACACTGGGAATCCAACATGAGTGCGCTTAAGTGGCACATTGGCCGAGATGCAAAGCTAACGCGATAAACCGTACTTTCTCCTAAGAGCATCCGCGAGAAATATTCGCGTGGTCGGTTGTATCTTTGACTTGACGTTTTAGTAAAATTCATTACCCCAATTATATTATCTTATTCTTTCCGGCGAAAAACGATAATAAAAATAAAAGGAAAAGTCGTATCTCTCTCAGGAAGAATTCGAAGAATAATTTTCTAATTAAATATTACGATTTTTCAATTAAGATAAAACGTGTGCTACTTTTCTTTCACGTGAAACTTTCGATTGAGATTATTAAGCAATGTAAAATTATACATACTAATGTTTTCCTTTTCCTGAAATCGTATACGTGTATTGCTCCGTTAAGAATTTTGCAAAAACGAAGATAAGAAACTTAACGTTGATTGAAAGTAAAATTCCGTATTTATTGAAAATAATAAAAATTGGATGACACGATAATCGTAAGTATATGAGAAAGATCATTTTGTTCTTTCACAATAAATCATTGTCTCTCACCTTGTAAGAATAAGAAAAAGAGAACGCGTTCCTTTTATGTTTCCAACGCGCATAATAAAAAAAGATAGGAAAAAACATATTTGTTTCGAATCGAACATAGGAATCGAGATAATTGATTGAAAGATTCGATTTGATACAATTCAATTTCTCACGAATTCACTTTCGAAATGTCATTCACATTAATAAAGAGAACTAAGGTGAAGGTCTTTTCACATCCTACTTTTTTCTGTGTTCACACACGCGCGCGCGCGCATCACAAATGCCATACAAACACACACCCACATACGAAAGCAATGATAAGCTCGCAATCAGAACAGTTTGGTTCGCATGTCCCACGAACATAAACTGTCTGCATGTGCGAATCGTACTTTAGGCGTAGGTCGTGCATAAGGTTGGTAGGTAGGTTGGTAGGTAGGTAGGTAAGCGAACGTGTTCGTGTTGCCGTTGTGACTGGGTCAAACGCCTCCTTCATGCATAGTCATATACTCTAATCACGTACGACGTGTGCGTAACATCATGGCAAACCTAAACCGCTTCTTATCGGACAATTCGATGCACAAAATTGCCATTAATTTCCTTTCCTTCCGGCTGAACACATTCACTTTTCAACGTTCCATCGTTTAATTTTTGAAATATTTCATGCTTCATCCTTTTATGTATTATTATCGTTTTATCTCGGGAACAATTTGTTAAAAATTTACAAATCTCAAATTCTTCTTTTTTTACGGATGTAATTAAATTTGACGAGATAGTATTTTCAGAAATATAGATTAATCACGGATCAAATTATAGATTGGATGGTTTATTTTAATAAAAAAATGAATCAATCAATAACGATGGCAGAGATAAGAAACTAAAGGAAGCTTTATTTTGAAGTCTCTTGTCATAAACAAACAAATTCTGACAATAAATCTTAAATATGAAAATAACATCGAAATTCTGGAACGTTCAAAAATTACTTACGATTTATTGTTTTTATAAAACCCTCACTATATTACACTCTTATCGTTAATCGTACACTTTCTCTCTAATTGAAATATTACACCGATAAACAAATCATATTTCTTCCTGAAGAAAGTAATAAAGGAAATGAATTTTAATAATTGAAAAACGAGAACACTGTTCGTTGAGATCTTATAACACCAATGAAGGAAGCACAGTCAAGACAAAAAAATTCAAAAATCAATGATAGTAAATCGAAAAGGCGTGGGGGAATCGAGACTTTCTTCGTGATTCGATTTACATTGAACGAATGAGAAGGTGAAGGCCGCGACGCGGAAATGGAAGAGAAAGAGAAAGAGAAAGAGAAAAGTATAAAAAGAGAGAAATAAAAGTAAAGAAGGCGGAACGTCGGTCACCTACCTTTGCCTCGAGCATAGCACCGTAACAACCGTAAAAACTAGTATTCGCACTGCACATAAACCAAAAAGACTATATATATATTATATATATACAAATAATATTATATATTTAACATAATATAAATGTATATATAAATAAATAACATTTAATTGAAGATACAATGCTCCTCTTCTTCTTTCTTCGTTTTCCGTAGTAACTCGATAAAAAAATAAAAAAAAAGGACCAACAAGAAAGAAAAAAGAAAAAAAGAGAAAATAGAAATAAATTAAAAGAAAAGAAAAGAAAAGAAAGATTCTCGATCCTTCCAATTTTTTTCCGCGCTGTTATCGAACGTAGCGCGTGTTATGCTCGATGGTTCACGTCACAAGCACCATCTTCTTCTCTCCCTCGATGAAATAATAATAATAATAATAATAATAAAAAAAAAAAATACGAAGAAGAAAATAATACAAGGAGACACCACGACGCGATTGTAGGAGGAACGAAAAAATGTTCAGACCCGTAGGAGACCTCTGCTTATATAGACTCCCGTAGAGGGGTACCACAACTCGTGAAGAGCAATTGCCGCAGTTGGTGAAGTCGTCGACGAGGAGCGTGCACGAGGAGCGACGGGTCGGTTGAATCGAAGAAAGGAGTCGAGTAGTGGTAAGCAGGACCAACGAGAGAAGCCCAACAAGAACGAGCGAGAGAAGGAAAGAGAAACAAGGAACCAAAGGGGGAAAGAAAGAGAGAAAGAGAGAGAAGTAAAACCCAAGCTGGAGAGGGAAACCCTCCTCGTCGTACATCGCTTAAAAATTCTCTTTGTAGAGAGAAAGTAGGCTATAAGCCCTGTCTTCTCTTCGAACACACCAAAGACGTCGAAGATGCGCCCGCCGGTTATCGGCATCGCATCACTATACTACTCTTCGTTTCATGATTGCTATGTGTTCGAATATAAGAAAGAACGAAACCAGAAATCAAACGATATACGTGAGTTATTTTTTGTTTCTCTTGTATGACATTTAAAAGATTGTCTAAGAAATATTTTCTTATACTATTTTTTTTTCTTTCTCCTCTAATAGTAGTAACTGTAAATAAGATGATAATGGTGTGGGAGGGAGGAGAGGAAAGGATAAGAGAAAAGTGATATATAGAAGTAGCGGTGGTTTTCATTTTTCTTCCTTCGAAGGACACGAAATTTTCTTGGAGATTATGTAACAACATATGAAACTGTTTATTAGATGGAATATTACTTATTACTACGACTAATTTTGTTGAGAATCTTTATGATGCATACCAGAGAAGATAGGAGAAAAATAAACAGAAATAGAGAGAGAGTGAGAGAGAGAAATGGATATGGAAAGGGAGAAAGGGCGAGTAAATAATTCGTAATTGCTCCTATCACATAAAATACTACTAGCTGGGCAATCGTTTGATATTTTCATAAACACTCTGTCAAGTATCCCATCCAATTTGCATCCAATTAATCGCTCGAGACCAAATTGTCGCGACTAATTGCCTCAGCGGGCGACGTACTGCTCCTCCTACGCGGTAAAAAGATTAATT